AGCAGAGTGTTTCTAGTTTCAGATGGATATTTCACTATTACAGTATCTTCAGTTCTGACAATCTTTCATTATTTATCTAGCTGCCAATATGTCACAGGTACTACAAAGAACAACTTTTCAATAGCTTTAATGAAATAAGGTGTTCTACGAAATAATTCCAGAAGCATATGGGGGGTTCTTCAGATATTTTTTTACAAAACTGCTTTTTACTTTTTCATGTGTTTTAAGGGCAGAAACTAATTGCCCTCCAGTGCTTCTGAAGTCAAACAAATAGCAGTGTTCCCTTTGCTCCTCAGTTGTGAGTATGGTTCTTTGTCTCCAGCCCCACATCTAAATACAAATTTGCAATGAATTTTATTCAGATCTTCAAAATGTGTCCAGACATTGTCACAGCACAGGGAAGTACACTAATTTCACCCATATCCAAAGCAAGTCAGGCAAATTATCAGCTGAGATATGTTCATAAATTGGCTGCTCTTGATATAAAATTCTTAGATCAATATCTTTGACTAACAAGAAGGATGTTAATTATATGTTGCAAGTGATGTTTCAAACATTACATTTAAAAAGCAGCAATATAAACCTTTTATTTTGCACTCATATGACCTTTGCTTACTATCTGAATTGAAAAGGTTTCCTCTCTCCAATTGTATCAGAAGGCTTTATTTTTATTTCTTTATTTAGCAAACTCGGAGAAAGCAGACCAATGTACAGGCAGCTTTATTCTCATACGCAGCATCCCAGATATGAGCAACCTGCAGGAAAGCAGCACACTGGTCCTGCCACTGACCTGTCTAACTTTATTGTACTAAGACCATTTTCTCCTTCGAGTAAGCAACAAGTATGCTTCTTGTTTGGTTTGAGTTTCTGGCTCCAAGGATGCTTTCCTTCATACCTAAAAATCTTCAAAAAAAAAGCAGCTCTAAAATCACAGGCCTAAGCCAGTGAAGATACAAATTCATGATGACTTTGCTGATCCCACCGGGAATACAAGATGTTCATCCTCCATTATATGAACCATTAGTTTCTAGGATTATTATTTTCTATGATACCTGAGCAAAAACTGCAGAAGTTTCTGAACATCTCCTTTCTTTTGTTTGACTTTGAAGTAACAGTTAGGCCAATGCTCATGCTGGATGCATTCAGAATTTCTCTCTGTACCAGGAGGCCATTGCCTTCACCTATCTCCAGCACTTCTGCATCTTGCTCAGAGCAATGACCCTGGGACTCCCTGTTGCTCTCTCTGGTGAGAGTGAGATAAGATCACAGCACAGTTCACTCCCCACAAACCGATACTCTTTCACTAGAAACAAAAGAAAAATCCAGTCTGGACAAATACCAGAAATCTTTTATACATAACCAGAAATCTCTTATAAACAACTGCATATTCTGTTTTGGAGATCCAGGTTGCTGCAAACCCAAGGCCAAGCATCCTTAGATCTTGCTGGAGGGAGTGGGAGCAGCCGCATCTGGTCTCTGAAACCCAAGCAGAGAAGTAATCAATCAGCAATAAAATGTGGAAAAGGAAATTAAGGTGATCATTATCTCCATCTTTAAAGGAATAATTTGTCAGATTGGCCACTACATATTAAACTCACTACCTGAGGAAAGATCTCTTTGATCTTTACTACTTCTGGATTTCTGCTGCTTTCTAGAGTCTATTTGATGTCTATTGCCCTGCGTCCAGGTCTTCATTTTTAGGCACTGAAGACAGACTAAGTAAACTCTACAAGAGAAAAAGAATCTGCTTACCCTCTTTTTCTCTAAGAGATAAAGAAAGGGAAGAAGCTTGATTTCAGTAATAAGTGAATTCCACCTTCTCAATTAAGTCTTCCTTTTTAGGAGATAATAATGAATGACAGAAGATAGCATTGCGATTGGAGAGAGATGGGGAGGGCTATATTGTCTAAAGACTTTCTTGACTTTCCAAGATGATACTTGAAGACCTCTGAAGAACTTCTCTGATCAGCACCTCATGATTCTCTGTTACCACTTCCCAGATGCTGCCCTGCCACTGAATGTTCTATTTTACACCAGAAGTCTGTACTCTGTGACTGCACACGTGCCTTACACAGAAAACTTAAGGGAGTAGCATGGTTTGGACATGGGTCTTGGAGAGTTTCTGGGCTGTGCAGTCAGGCCCAGGAGCTGGGAAGTACTCCCATGATTGTAATAGTAGAGAGATGGCAAGACTCTCTTTCAGTGGTGGGACTCATCATTTAGGGGGAGCTGTGGCAGTAACTCATTCAGGCATTCATTTCTGCATGTGAGCCTAGACCCTACTGCAAACCTCTGTGCCACTGAACTTGGCTTCAGCACAAGATGAAACTCACTAGCTGTTCATTAAAAATAAAAGGAAAATTGTACTCCAGAATGGGAGAATAAGAAGGCAGCCAGGAGATGCTAATTGCAGTTGACTGACTGCCACTCAGGGCTCTTATGAATCCAAATATTTTTGTTACTATTGAATCCAAAGGTTTGACAGAGATAACAGGCATAATCTCAGAGTGAGCAATTTCATGATGGCATTGCTCTAGTCATTCTTATTTCTGCACACTTTTTCCTATATACATTTTCTAGTTTAGTTGCAAGGCTATCTTTCTGATTATGTTCCTAGGTTTGACCCACACATTTTCAGCACCCCAGAAACAACATTTTTATCATCGTGATTATTATTATAAACAGCCACTAGCAGCAGTAAGCTGAATGAATAGGCTGCAAAAATCACCTATTCCGAGGAAACTAAAAATTGCCTTTGGCATGGTCCTGCAAAAGTCAAATTTAAACATTCAATTTAATTCCCAGACAGATGGGTTGATCATATAATGAGAGAAATTCTTTTGGACTGATATGTATGCTTAACAATCTAAAATAATGTTGACAGGAAAAGCCCATACTGCATAAAAGTCTTTTCAGCAAAAACTGTGGTCCTGCTGCTATTTAAATGAGATTCCCAAAATATATCAAAGCATAAGTATATGATGAAACAGAAACCCATGTATCATAAGCATCGTGAATTGTGTCTGTGTGCCTTACCTGTCAAACAAGCCCCAGGAGCTTCATAAATGTAAAATGAGGTGTATCAGAGGTCAGTGCATTGCCATATGCCACTCATAAGTTATCTTCAAGTGCACCAGGTGAGACAGAGTCCTGCCTCTACTTTGCTGAGATATTTCAGACAAGTCACTGCATCTTGCAGTGCCTTGGGTTCCTCATATTAAAACAAGGTAAATCTTACCAGCATCATCCCACACTGCTTCGATAGAGCACATGTCATTTCCCACTTGCTTTCTCTTCCTACTACAGAAACTCTCCTTTGTAGCTTTCCATATAGGTCTGAATATAACACTGATAAAATAATTCAAATCTACATTCCTGGCTGTTTGCCAGAAAACAGATAGTTCAGGACTTAGGTTGCATTTCTCTTTCAGAATGGAGGTCTTGTTAACTTAAGTATGACAGATTCTTCAGGTAATTGCTGAGTAAACATGCTTCCTTTAATCAAGAGGGTAAAGCTAGAGCAGAAAATTTAATTGTTTTTATTGTTGGTTTTCTTCACTTCCCACACAGGAAGGTTAATTAGAGAATGCAGTATTAGGGTGTGTGTTCATTATTATCTCATGTAGATACAAGACCCTTGAGGGGGAAATTGTTTATTGCTGACCTGGATCAAGTTTCCTCTCTGAACCCCACAACTGGGGCAGGCATGAGTCATATTGGGGACTTTGTGCCAGGAGAGGTACAGGATCAAATATTTTCCTGTGAAATGTTCAGAAAGCTGTCTGAAATGTGTGTATATGTATGTATTTCTCTGAAAGTAGACTGCATCAAATATGGACAAAGCAGGTTTGAAATCAGCTGCACGCTTGGGCTTTTGCAACTGTGGAGACCCATTTTTAAAAACTGACTCAAGAATTGTGTTTTAAAAGTAACAAGACCACTGCAGTAGTAAAAGGGTGCTTTTAGAAGCACTCAAATATGTCAGCTAATTCCTGAAAATGAGAGTCACTAGGATGTGAACTCTTAGCTGGCTCTGTAATATAAGTAAGTGAATAATTGAATTTTCTGATACTACCCAAAAAATTTAAAAATCTTTTCATGAAAGAGAAGTTTTAATTAACTGCATACACCAATTATATTTTTAATTATGTATCTCTGTTTCCAAAATTATCTATGGACCTTTCCTCTATGGTTTTGTAAGGTGCTAACAGGGATAAGAAAAAAAAAAACATAAAAAACCTTCATCCAGAATATAAAGGAGAGAAAAGCACCAAGAGTACAAAATGACAGTTGGATGGATGCCACTAGTACTGTTTTATTAAGTCCCATATTCCAAAAGGGTAATGGTCAGCAGACAAGCATTTTTACTTCAAGATGCATCAAACTACTGTACATTTTTCAGTCATTGTCATTTAAACAAAACTATTTTTTAAACATTGTAAATGTGCAAATTATATTTTTGAGCATTTATTTGGAAATCCTATTTGAAATTTCATTACAAGTTTTCCCTCTGAAGAATTGCTCTTATTTATCTGTTCTCATAAGCCCATGTGCAATCTTCATAATGAGGTATGGCAGAGAAAGATAACAGCTGGTACTTTTGTTTTTACTTCTGCTGGGGCTATTATTGTTGTTTGAAGCATTTTATCATGTTTTGTAGATCAAATTCTCTCCTGTTATAATAAAAAAATTTAACTCAGCAAGGGATATTTTGGTCTGTAAAAGAACGTGCCTATTTTGCAATTGCAAGAAATTCCTTCTTCTGCCCTGTGGTCAAAACAGAATTTCAACATTGCCAGGAGCAGATTTGAGTGATTCATCCTGTCAGCCTTTCCTGGCTATCAGTCTGGTATGAAAGAATAGAAAATGCAAAAATAATGTTTCAGATTCAACAAACAAAATTAAAAATTCCATCCAAACAGAACAACAGAAAAATCTAAAAGTAAATGTAATCTAAAAGTAAAAAGGTTTTATAATTGACTTTTTTTTAATGCATGATTAAGCCAAAGTTCTGAAATAAGATACTTGGGTTTATAAAAGAATATGCATATTTTATATGCACAAAAATTAACTTTTTACTTAACCCAAAAGCAAATTTCAGATTGTTGAGAATTTCCCAGAAAAGGGAAAATGCAGATATAATCCATTTAACGTTGTCTGTCCCTATCTGACTCACTGATGGGCATGTTGAGCTTGGTACCAAGATCTGAGTGACAAATGGGGACGTGCACGACTGGCTTTGGCAGTCCCAGCCAGTGGCAGAGAGCAAAGCACCCATGCTAAGTGGCATGGAGACGCGGCGTGCTGCAAAGCTGCTTACCCAGCAGGAGCAAGGGACCTCACCCTGGCAGGGGCTGAGCAGCCCCAGAGGTGCTGAGCACTCTTTTCCCAGCTCAGGTCCAGCCCTGGGAGACGCCAAGCACCATGGAGGGCTCAGCAGGCTCAGCAGCACACCAGTGGTATTGCACTTTGGGGGCATGAAGTGTGCACCCCTCTCCCAGCTTCAGTCACAGAGCAGAAAGCCACTCTAACTTTTCCTTGCCCAGTAAGGGGTGGTTCAGGTGTCCCAAAGACACAAGAGGCACTGAACAACACCCGTGCTGCAGAACAGATGGCAAAGGGGTGAATCCTCTTTGATTTCTTTGTCCCCCACACAACTGTGATCTTGCCGTCAGAAACGAGGCCAGAAGAGATCTGTGCAGCACATCCTCTCTCTCCTCCACTACCTGATGTTTTGAGCAGATCTCCATTTTCTCTTAACACTCTCCCTCTACTGTGTCAGCGAGAGCACAGCCCATTGGAAGGGAAAGGCATGGCATGAGGAGACTTTGCAGCTGGTAAAGGCAGAAAATCTTCTTCCTCTGCTTCAGATATTCTTGCAGCCTCATGAATAAAGCACTTTTTTCCCCAAAATAAATATGATACCTCTTTAGTGACAGCTCCATTCTGCTCTGAGTGCTTCACTTCTGTGAACAATGTGCATGAAACTCACTCTTTTGTGCCTGTAAATAAACAAATGAACTTCTAATTTAAATGAATAATTTCCTAAAGTCCGTATTCCTTATGGTAATATTAATTAAGTCCTTCCATTATGCAGGGTGCAAAGAGAAAACTGGATGTTGCATTCAAAGCAATGATAAGTTACCATTTTAATGATTCCTTATGTTGTGAGTAATTTATAAATCACTCGGTATCTTCTCAGCGAAGCTTGCCGTCTGTTTTTAAAACGTACCTTTTTGTATCTAACAAAGGGTTTCAGTGCAATAAGAATTAAGGTGTGTCTCTTAGCTTTTACCTGCAAGCAATAATGATGTTGTCAAGCGTTTCAGGTGAGACCAGCCCAGGATTTTGGGGTGGGGAAAGACACTCTGTTATACAGCATCTTCAGTTCTTCCCTCAGAGGGAGGCAGAGACACCTTGAAGGGCTGAGTATAAGGACATACACAGAGCGTCTTTTTAAATAGGCACCAGAGCTGGGGGGGGGGAGGGGAACAGGAACAGGCTTGTAACCATAACTCAGTTGGACTTGTTTCTGAGAAGTCAGATGCCATGGATTGGCTCCCTCACCGAACAGCTGCTTTTCTGTTCCTTTTGTCGGTAAGTCGGATTTTAAAGCAATATTTGTAAACTCTGTGACTATGCCGATTTAATCTCCCTCAGCAGACCATTGCATTTTACAATGTAAACTCTTCCCCAAAAAATCTTGTGAAAGGTTTCCATAAAAACCAAAGCTCTGCTCCTTTTAAACAGCACTTGTGAACATTCTATAGATTTAAATTAGCTTTTCATTAAATACTGACAAATGTTTCTTTTTAGACTTTTGGCAATCTGTTGATGTTCAAGATGCGACTTTCTATGTTTACTGCATGATTTTTCAGGCAAATGTTTTCTGTAGCTACTATTTAGAGGTCACAGTTACTAATAAAATGCTTGTAATTATAAAAATTGTAATGGTTGGATATAATTTGGTTCTATATCTTTACTATTTTATCAGTTTAGGAAATACCTTTTTCTAAAAAATTCAAATCTCTTTTTTCTAAAATAATTATCAAGGTCGCTTCAGAGCGACCAAATCCTACAATTATATTCAAGGGAGAAAAAAATTAGCGATCTCATTTAAGTAAAAATCAAGAATTGCCCTATTATTTCACATTGCAAAAGATTCCGGCGTTGTTGTGCACTGGTGTCGGAGCCGCCATGTGCTGAGCAAGTGAATGCATGATGAAAGTGTTGCTCTTTGGGTTTGTTTTTCTCACTGTAAAAGGAAAGTTGTGGCTATGGTCAAGTGGCATAGTTGTTCAGTGTGTTCATAAAGGCGTGGAAATTATCCAGAAGGGACTTAAAAGGGCTATGGGCGCTCTACTGCTCCTGCAATCTAATTTTTCTGTGGATTCATTTTACTCATCTGTGCTGACCTCTTGAGATTTGGTAGAGGTTTAATGGCCTGGAGATTGAGAAGGATTTCTAGTATAGTTATATCCTGTGGTGTTCATGCAGTTTTACATGTTATACAGTGTATTAGTATGCGTAAATGTTTGTTAACTTCTCATTACTGACTTCTCTAGAAATTCTATATCTGAGAAAAAGTCTGTTTTAGATTAAAAAATCCTAAAACCATTATGAAAACACAATCCATTAATTTTAGGTGACAGCTCTGCAATCAGTAAAATAGAACTAATTAACACAGAGCAGCTGCCAAGCAAACAAGGGCAAAACTTGGCAAAAGCAAGTTATGGTTCGGATAAGTCTCTGCTTGTTCAAGGCAGCAGAGGGTGTCTGAGACTGGCCTGTTGCACATCACACTAACACTTCTGGATTTTCATGAAGCACTAGTGACTATTCATTTTACTCATTTACCTGGTGATGCAAACTCCCAGTGTGCTGAAGTTCAAAAAGCTTGACTGTTTTATGTGTAAGGCCTGTCCATGTCAAAAGACATTTTGCTGCTTTGCTTTTCTCAGCAACTCTGGAGCCATTTTCATTCTTTCAGTATGTTGTTGTTAAAAGTGTGAGTGATGAAGGGTAGGTGTTGGGTCAGAAAAGAAGATCGATTCTGAAAAATTCCATTGTGTTTTGATGACTATCAAAAATTTAAACTTTTACTACCCAGAGGAAACTGTGATTCTTGTTATGCATTCTTCTGCCCAGCATTGTTCATGATGGCCTGTACGGCTTAACAGCATCTTTCAACATTTTGTCGAGACCAAATAAATTATATATTTATATATCCAGTTTTAGTGTATTCTGAGAAAGAATTTTGGCTTTCAGCTTAAGTAACCTTTCATGAAAATCACCTGTCTGAATGGTGTCTCTGGTTAGTATATTGTTAATAAGTTGCATCAAATAAAATTACCATGGAGTTATACATATTTTTGTACACTACTGCACTTTAAAAAAAAGGAAACTTACCAGCCCCGAAACAAATAATTTGCTCTATGGATTTCACCATTGGTGGGACTGATTCTGCAACCCTTGCTCATGTGACTTCAAAGGCATTATTCTTATGAGTAAGGGAGTTCTGTTTGTGATACTAGCACAGACACGTTTTATGGAAATAACCTGTTTGATCAGGTATGACTCTTCTTCTGCCAGCTATCATGTGACAGCCAATAATTTTAAATTCACCACATCTCTTATGCACTTTTGTCTGGATACATTTTCCCATGTGTTATCTAGGCTTATTTTTCCCCCCCAGTTGTTAGGCTATGGTTACACATCCTACTCATAACTTGATTGCACGTAAAAATAATCAGGAGCTAAAACCTCTCTTGTATATTCAAATGAAATATCTGCCAGGATTGAATCAGGAACCTTCAAGCTCTTCTGCCAAATAATTTTGTTGTAGAAACTACAGCAATTCCACATCCAGGAACTTTCACCTAAGATTAGGTACTTAAGCCTGCAGTTTTACATTCCTAAGTAAAATGGCCATTAAGCAAACATGCATTTGCAGCCAGAACACTCTAAGTCATATCAGAATTCAGGTTTTATTGAGGAGATTTATTGAGGGCACTTAGCATGACTAATTTGAAAAACTCAAATTTTAATGACAATGGCATACACCCTATATTGAAATTGCTTTTCTGTTCATTTTTCTAATGGTGAAGCTCAGCTACTCTATGGAAATGCATTGTATCTGTATACAATTGAAGATACAATAGCAGAACATAAACAATCTCAGTGGAAACTTTCCCAAAGTGGTCGGTTCTTTGAGTAAACCTATTTTAAAATAAATAAAATTTCAAAGTATATTCTTCAGCCTGATATGAGCATTGACATAATTCCTGGATTATTCCTGTCAAAATTGTTGAAATAGTAATGGATTCTCCATGCTGGGTGCAATTCAAAGTATTGCTAACATAGGAAACACCTGACCTCCTCTGAATTAGAAAACAAAATGCCAGAAAAATCATCCAGATTATCTTTCCCTTAAATTGGATTAACTACATTCATAAGTGACATATGAAAAGGTGAAGTGTAGAAAATCGTGTTTCAATTAAAAAGTGATCAAATGGCATTTTTTTAAAATATGAGGGTTTGCCATATATTTTGAACTCTGCTTCTCATTGTTTCATATGTTCTGATGTATCATTTTCTTAAAGAGTTGCAGAATGAAAAAAGGGGAAGGGCTCATTATTGCAACCCTTTTCGAGTCAGGGCTTTGGATGAGTAAGGAAGACGTAAAAGTCCCAAAACGCTGACAGTACCAGCTACCAGGGCAGCCTGATGACTAACACAATACGTGTGAGTTCTCAGCACTCCTCCCATCCAGGCCAACAACAATGCCACTGTTGACTTCAAAGAGAGAGAAGCAGATCCCATATGAATAATGCTGGGAAGATGTTAAAGGCGTGTTCAGTCATTTAGATTTGAGTAGGTGGAGGAGGGAGGATTCCAATTACGTATGATATTGCTTGGTACTCAATTAATGATTAGTTAATTCTAGTTTGTAAATTGCTTTCAGGGTGAAAAGAACAGTACACATCCTATGGGCCTAATTCTGTTCCCAGTTACATCAGAATAAATTCAGAATAACTCCAGTGTGACTCTAAGGTGTCATTTTGGACACAGGGTCCAGGTATCATTACAATGAAAGATGAGCTTTCAGACAGAACTGAAAGCTGTACAAATGACAGAAGCCATAAGCTTTTTTCCTGCCTGCACATCTCCCAACCCAAAACAGAATCAGCTTGTGCAAACAGCCTCTAGATTCTCTGCAGCTTCCTTTTTTCACAGTCTCTCAGAGACTAACAGGGCAGCAAATCTTGGTATCATTCTGGCCAGCTTGCCTACCCCAAGGTCCTCAGGATGCATCCCACACATTCCAGTGGCTCCTATTGCTTTAATTATTGTTTATCCCTGTGTCTATAGAAAGTACTGTACTTGGATATGGGCTTAGAAAGGAATTTTTTTAACTACCTAGAAAATTGCTTGGGTTAGCTGCTAGGAGACAGAACTTATCAGCTGGAAATAGCACTAGAAAAAAAGGGTTTGCATCCCAGTTAAATATTAGAAATAGACAACTGGGTTAGGGGAAGACTTCTAACTGCTGGTGACAGTGGAGAACCAGAAGGCATTAGTTAGGGAGGTGAAGGAGCCTCTATCCCTGGATCAAGTAGGATAAATGTAATTTCAAAATTGTTCAGGTTTATCTGCTGAACTAGACATTTTTGTCTGATATCTGCCCGCCCTCCTTCATACACCACAGCCAAACTGAAACACCAAGTTCATCAGATCAGCTTTTTCAAATAATAACATGAACTGTACTAAGGACTCTGAATTCAAGATCTTCCATTACCAACAGGTTGCAAAATGGGATTTGCCTTAGCTATCACAGGACAAGTGTGCAAATACAGGGCCTAAATTTACAATCCCCAGCGTTGCCAATGGACAAATCTCTGATGGTCCCATTACTGGTGATCAAAAACAAAGAATGAGATTCCAGTGCAAAATATGTATTTTTCACTGCTTGAAAACAGAACTCCCTATAGGCTGGAATCAATAGGTTTATGAATATTCATGTCCTTAAGTAATAGAATTCTTCACAGGTATAATTCTTATTTCAGAAAAACTCAGAATAATTTTTCAGAATATGAGAGTGATGTGGCTGGGGTGAGGTATTAGTCTCACTATTAAGTAACAGGATAGGCTGCAGACAGCAGACAAGATTCACTAACATTGCACTGGGAGGTGCATACCCATACTTTGCCATGTCAAGACAATTGTTTGCATGCCAGAAGGGATTTCAGCCTAAGGGTGGAGAGGATTTCACTGTGCTCACCAAAGGAGGTGGGATAAACTGATAAGAGACATTCAATTAGTGTTATTTCTGGTGGACTTCATCACTCAGGTTCTCTCATGACTGTGTAGTCTGCCCCTTTGACTCTTCCATGTTCTCCTGGAATCCAAGGGGGAATATAAAAGAACAGGACTGAGCTCCTACTGGGGTGAACAAACCCTGCAGTTGACATGGAGTCTGATATTGTCCCTTCTCTGAGATGAGGAACAGAACAGCTGCACGTGAATTTGAACCCTATTGTGAAGCTAAAGATTTAAACAGTCTTACATTCAACATAAGTTAAAAGATGTACATTGATGCTTTTAGCACAATATGAACATATTGTAGTGATTCTCCCACAGAGTACTTTTCTTAATCATTTTTGTCAAGAGCTGGCTCAAACAAACAAGGAAAAGAATCCTCTCTGTGAATAGTCTAAAAAATTTCAAGTATCAAATGGGCAGATCCACAGTCTAAACTCCTTCATTGAGAAGCAGATTCAAGCATCCATTATAGGCCAAGGTCTCAGGGAATATTTTGGGCAAAACCAGATTACTGGAAACACTGTTTTGTAAATGACAGATGGTGAATTCTTGCAGCATAAAGGCAAATGGGGAAAAGAGAGAGAGGAAGGAGGGTGAAGCTGCTGTTCATTAATCTGTTGCATGTAAGGAGTTGTCTTAACATGAAGCAAGTGGAAAAAATTCTGTCTCCATGTTCCAGTCTTGCCAGCACAACGCAATAAATTTGAAGTGAGGAAAAGTCCCATGATGTAATGATAGGATAAAAGATTATCACAGATTTTATCCAAGCATAGATGACATAAAACCCCACAGATATAACATATCAGACAAAAACCAAACAAATATACAAACCAAACCAAAACAAAAAGCCGTGGGAAATTATAAGGAAGTGAAATACTCATAACTGTAGCTGTTAACATTTGTTGAGAAAAGAGAAACACTGCAATAATTGTTGAGTCACCTGGTTATTTTGTTTCTTCCAATGATGAATGAAACAAGCATCCCGTCCTACAAATCCCACATTCTTCACCCTTTATTGTCTGAAGAGAGCAAAAGCAGATCCTAGACCTGAAAGAGATGCTCTGAAGGAGGTACATTCACCAAGTGAGGCTCATTTTCACACCTTATTTAGGAATAAAATTAATTAAACTGTGCCTTCTTTTAAATTGTGGTAATCAAGAAATTGATGCTCCTCTCATTTAAACTTTAGTTTTAAAGTAATTACATACTGCATCTGATTCTGCTACCTTTATTTACTCAAGATTAGTTGCATAATTGAGTCTCAAATCAAAATCCACTGCACACCAGGGAAATTTGCCTGAAACCTGCAGGTGGATTTCCATCTTACACTGAATCTCTTTAATCTCACTGGGAAGTCCCAAAAACCCATGTTCATTCTTTTTGGTTAAATTACATAATTAAGGATTCCAGGTTTATTGTTGACTTTGAAAATAGGAAAAAACATAATGAAAAAAGAATAAATTATTTAGGATAAATACTTCTTTAGTTTCCTAGAGTGATTGGTAACAACTCTTGCAATCACTTCTCTCTTTAGCTGAGGTGTTAAAAATCTGTGTGAAAGTTTTATTTTGATGAAGGAACAGCTTGAAAATTGCTCTTGCATATCCATTCAAACTCAAAGTCCTGTCTTGAAAGGCAGAATGGATTTTGAAGGTTTTAACTGTCAAGGAATTTAGGTGCTGGATATAGAAAAAATTGAATTTCACAAACTCATTTGTGGAAATCTTGCAGCTAGATAAGCTATTGCAATAGGTTTTAAAAAAAGCCCTGCTCCAGGCCTGCAGTATAGCAACGTCTTGCAGGTGAGTTTTGCTTGCTGCATTTTGCCTTGCATTTTTACATGCCAATTTTTTTATTGTTCTTGCAGGTACTCTTGGATTTCAGCACAGGATTTCATGTAGAGGTAATATATGTTTCTTTAGAAACTGTTTTTCTGATTAAACAAAATGTAACAAAAATAAACAAATCATGTGGAAAATACTCAACTAAGACACTTCTGAACCTGAAGGTTGAAAACATATTTAAATATTAAACAGTTGCAGGTAATAACCTGCTCACTCTCTCAAGAGAAATTCGCCTAAATCTAAATGAGTATCTCATACAAATGAGTAATTTTAAAATAAACATGTACAATCATAGAGGTTGGTACCCACAGACATGTAAAAAAGGACATGGTCTACAAAAATCTTTTTTCTCCTTGTTGCTGGAAATTATGATTGTCTGTATTTATTTAAAATGGATTGAGATCATATGATACTGGAACTCTTGTCAAAGGTAAAAGAGTGGGATGAAAATGGAATGGCAAGATGGAAAACCTTTAGAAGACAAAAACGTGAATGGATCAAATTTGCTGCAGCTTGTAGAGAAGGAGAAGATAATTCCAAGAGGAATCCAATTGCCAGAGTAAGTAGAAAGACAAACAAAACTATTCACTGACAAGGAAGTTTTGCCAATGACAGGCTGATAAAAGTAGAGGGATTTAAAAGTATCTATGCTTAGAGTAGTAAAAGCAAGGAATATAGAATAAAAGAAAGATGATGCAATATTCCTAGCTCTGCTGAGACAGTCTCATAAGGTGAATCCATGTAGCTGCTGAGGAGTGACCAGAGGCTTCCTAGAACATTGCCATGAGTCTACTTCCCAGGAAGCTCCAACCAGTATTTTTGCTCTAGATCATAACATTTTTCTTCTCTCTCTCTCATCCCGAGAAACCCCTGAGCAGAAGTTCAAAGATTATACATGACCTGCAGGAAGCAGAGAAAAAGAAATACCTTCCTGTTCTCTCGCTGTGACCATGCCTTTACTGAGGTCCAGCCACAGTGTGATACCCTTGGAGCCTTGGAGGCTTCTCTCTCCACTTCCCCGACAGATTTAAGAGAAATAGAAAGCCTAGCCAGCCCTTAAGGGGAGATGGATGTCTAGGCGGACACTTTGTAGAAGAGCTTTCCATTGATTCAGTCAACTGAACCTTGTAATAAGTGGTTGAGAAACTGAAGTTATATAGAATTTTTTACAAGAACAAGAATAGGAGAAAAAGCCCTGGAGGTAAACCGGCATAAATTGTTATTATCTGTTACTGTAGATCCGATCTGATTGTGAAGAAGACAATCCAATCACATACAGCATCTCTGGAGTTGGAATTGATCGTGCACCCTATGGAATATTTGTTGTTAACCCAAGAACAGGAGAAATTAATATAACATCAATAGTGGATAGGGAAGTAACACCAGTATTTGTTGTAAGTACTCTCCTTTTTCTTTACCTTTATAATGATGGATCCAGGCTGGGGAAGACAACAAATTCATTTGTTTCAGATTGCTACTTTGCTTACTTAACTTTTGGTTTTAAAACGAGTAAATCTCTTTATTTAGATACGTTGCTTTGCTAAACACTCGGTGACCGGTGTAGATTTGGAACCACCTCTTGAACTTCGAGTCAGAGTCCTGGATATAAATGATAACCCTCCTGTATTTGCACAAACTGTATTTACAGGATCTGTTGAAGAGAGCAGCATGGACAGTAAGTAACTATGCTATGCCTTTGACAGTACTAGTAAAGTTCACAGAATACAGTAAATATAAACCTGGGATGCTCTTTCTGCTTTCTTAGGCAATGACATACATTGGTCAGGGCCACTGCAGAGGAGGGAGCAGCAGATGCTTCTCCAAGTGCTATTTGAGCCAGGGCCTGGGCTAATTGCTATAAATTAATCAGCAATGCTTCCTTCTCCCTTTCCTCCCCCACATGAGTGCTGAATGTTCCAGTTCCTAACCATGCCATCATGCAAATTCTTTCAGATGTGAAAATGTAAAGTAAAAAATTCATTCCTTCTCATTAGAATAAAAACATCATTACACTTACTTCCTTTGAGGGTATGTAAAACACATTTTTCCCCATTTTTCTCTTGCAAATATTTGTACATGTAGCCTGTGTATTTGTAATTGCAGCTGAAAATTACTAAATAATTCCATACTTAAACCAATAAAATGGTTCTTTTTACCAAAAGTGCAGCAACCAATATTAGACATGCAAATAGCACTGAGGCAATGGTGCCTAACACTCTTTTTCTTCTCTCTAGAAATTCTCATTTAAATTTGTGATTTCTTATAGTAATCTCTACAAGCTCCGTCCTATTATGCATATTCCCTATGGTAATTTAAAGAAGTTCAGTGAATGTCTGCATTTTTCCTTCCTACCTTGATTTTTAATTCATTTAAAGTCATTAACATTGTCAGAATCAGTACTACAAAACTAAAGTTTTGTTTCCTTTGTAAATGTCAAGGAATAGATAACCTTCTATCATTTTCATACACTATTTTAGCACTGTCATGATGAGTTGTTTGCAGGAATTCAAGAGATTTTCCGGTTTTTTTTTTTATTATTTTTGTTTGTTTGTTCGTTTGTTTGTTTATGGGGTTTTTTAAATTATTGTTATTATTATTTATTTTTAGATACCCTGGTGATGAAAATCATTGCAACAGATGCAGATGAACCTAACCATTTGAATTCTAAAATTGCCTTCAAAATAGAGAGTCAGGAACCTTCTGGTCCCCCCATGTTCATTATGAATAAATACACAGGAGAACTCCATCTTGCAAATTATCTTGACAGAGAGGTAACATTTTCCCTTCCAAAGCTAAATAACATGATGTTGTAGTGCATAAGAGAGCAAGAAAAATATAGAAGAGAGAGAGAGAAAGGTTGTGGGTTTTACAAATATTAATGGGGAAGTGCATGGTTTTGATGTGTCACAATAAAATGTCTAAGTAGAACTCCTACATTAGGAAATAGTAGCAAGCATGAGTAATTTATAAGATGCACAGATGGTCTTCTAACATACTCACTTCTCTTTTTGTGACAGCAACATAGTAGTTACACTCTGGTTGTGAAAGCATCAGACCGGGATGGGGCTGCAGATGGAATATCATCCCTTTGTAGCTGTAACGTGAAAGTTATCGATGTTAATGACAACTTTCCAACTCTTGCTCAAAGCTCTGTAAGTTTCCAATAACAAAAGCAGCAACACTGATTTAAAACCCTGTTTAAAAGCCCCTTTGGTAACAGAGCCCTTACTAACCCATAGAGAACTTTCAAATTTACATGTTCCACAGGATTTACAGGGTTGTTCCCTTGAAGAGTGCTCAAAATACACTCCATTGCTTGTGAAACAATTCTGGTAACATACACATAGATACTTTTGTATTCAGAGATGTCAATCCTGACTTCTTTGTATTCAGAGAAATCCTGTCATTCAGGTGCCCAGATCCCTGAAATATGGCCAGATTATGTAGAATAACCCAATCCTTGAAAGATCATTTCTTGTAGAAAGCACAAATCCTTTTCCTCTGTGATGCCTCTGCAAAACTCGAAGGTGATACAGCTTTAAAAATCCATAACCGTAATCACAATGTGACCAGAACACGTTTCTTAATTAAATTGGCAAGGATTGTCCTCAGAACATGCTTCAAAAGCATCTCTGCAGACAGCTGTGTTTTCCTCACACATATTTATATATATATATATATGTATATATATATAAATGTTTGCTAATAGGTATTTATCTGTCATTTCAGTTTTCAGCAAGTATTTCAGAAAATTCACTCAGTTCAGAACTGCTACGAATACAAGCTCTGGATGCTGATGAAGAGTTTACAGACAATTGGTTAGCAGAGTTTTTCTTTATATCCGGTAATGAAGATAACTGTTTTGAAATTGTTACAGATCGAGCTACAAATCAAGGAATTCTCAGAGTAATTAAGGTATGGATAAATATTTTGATTCAGTTCTTGACTTAAAATTTTAACTAATTGTTAACGGAATTATACAGGCAGTAAAAACATTGTCACTCAACCATTTAAAACAAAAAAAAATTAAATATGGAAGGAGCTTTTATGTATTATCTAGTTCTCTGTGGTTTGCCTTTTAGGAACTGGATTTTGAACATATCAGAACTCACTCACTGATGATTGGCGTCAGGAATGTAGCTGCCTTCCACCACTCTGTTGCACATGAGTACCAAATATTTGGAACACCTCTCACAGTAGAAGTAAAAAATTTGATTGAACCACCAAGATTTCATCCATCTTCAGTTGTGTTTTCCCTGGCAGAAGGTGCAAGAGTGAATTATGTTGTAGGAACATACACAGCCATGGATGAGGACACTAGAACTGTTGCGACAAATGTTGTGTAAGCTCTGCTCTACTAAACTCCTTGGATGGAATAATTCTTTTGAGATTTCAATGGGATGAGGAATTGGTATTTTAAAAAACCCTTTTAAAAACAATGTTTATTGATTAGCAAAAGAAAAATGGCAATAGAATGGTACTATGTAGTATCATATAATATTATTATTACATGAAATTATATTCTGTATTATTATAGAATAGTATATAACCCATTTTTGTGCTATAATTGCTTTTCTTTCCTGACTATTTTCCTTAGCCTTAAGCACAAGACAAAGAAAATATAATTTTTCTAGCAGGCAGTAACTTAGATATAACAGAATGTTTTTTCTTGAAACATTTGCTACAAGGGAGGAATTTGTTAGCATCTCAAGAAAAGCAGACAGAATTATCCAGTCAGAATATTATTATCCAGTCAGAATAGAAGAGGTCCCTACTAGCTCATTCTCTAAAAAAATTTACACTTATTTCTCTTGAAATTAATGAAATTAATGATAATAACTGAGACCATAATCTGCTTTTAAGTGTATGTATAAATAAATACAGCCAATTTACAAATATTTGAAAAAAAATTTCCTAAACACGGAAATGTGTCAGCAAAATACAACTGTAGAATAAGAAAAGCCGTGCATTTAACCATTGATATTAACAAAGGTTATAGTAAAGATTTACAGGATCCAGAAAAATTTTAGTTTTAGACTGTAATGCCACTTTCAAAATAAAATAGGCTTCTATGCATTTGCTTTATTCCTAACTACTTTTCTGGTCTACATCTTTTGGAGTCTACATGGATTTTGCTTGAACTGGGTGAAATGCAATAGCATCTAGCATAGACTAAAGAAAAATGGTCCAAAGTGCCAAATTTTATCTGAAAAATAAATATGTAATACATATATTCATAACATAACGCTGAGTATTTTTACTTCACCACACAGATATAGTATAGGACGTGATCCAGCTGCCTGGTTCAGAATCAATCAAAACACTGGTGAAATCACACTGAACAAAGTTATTAACCGGGATTCAGTCTATGTAGTCAATGGGCAGTACCAAGCAGAGGTTCTGGCTATCACCAGAGGTAAGAAAAGAGATTAAGTTTTCCAAAATAAACTCCTTCTGTTCCAGATTTCTCTCAATTTTTTTTTTCATATTTCTTGTTTTCCAACCCTAACTGCATTATTTATGGTATCAATATTCCCTCCTGACCACAAATATCTTCTTTTTACAGGGGTTCCTCGATATACTGCTACTGGTACCGTTGTTCTTTCAATAGATGGCATCAATGCCAATTGCCCAAGTATTAATACTGAGATGAGGAAAGTATGTATGCATTCCCCATCAGTGATTATCTCAGCAAAGCAGAGGGATGGTGATCTCTATGCTACCCCCTTTACATTCAGCATACATGGTGAACCTCAGACTACATGGATTATCAGACGAATAAATGGTAAATTAACCTACATTTTATAACAGAATAAATCATAGTAATAAGCTCTTGTCTAAGATAACTGATTAGGATGTTACTTTATTAACAAACAAAACACTCATAAGAATCTATTCAAATCTCAGTTAAATATAATCTAAGAAGTTACTCCAAATTTGAATACATGCATACATATATATGTCTATTTGAATATTTCAATCAGAATTATGATGTGTTATATTTTAAAGGAAACTGTAAATTTACTGATAAAAATAGAGCAGCAAAACTGTACTTTGAGTATACTATGACAAGAGCCTTTACAGGTCTAAACATAATGATGTAAATCAAAAGGAGTAATTTGTTACTTTTTCATTTCTGTGTTATCTAAAAAATCCTAAGCAAATAAAAAATTCTCAGGTTTTTTTGTTAGAGTATTAAGTTTATAGTTAGTAGAACTTTACTTCTATTAGAGGCATATGAAAATGGCAAATTAAGATTACAACTTTTTAAATTTATTGTACCAGTCATACCTACTTGTATTTTAAAGAAAATTGTTTTAGTCAGTGCCCAGTGAAGCTTTGCCAGTTTCCTTCAATACGACGTGACAAAATAATGAATTAATCAAATCCCATGAATTATGAAATGACAGAATTTGCATAACTTACTGTATGCCTACAAGACTGCATTAAATGGCAATTATCACAAGTGCAAGTATTCTTGAATTTCCTATCTGTCCTAAACAGTTGCAAATATGTAAATTTAAATATTTAAATCTACTAAAACACTTTTGGAAAAATATACATGGGTTCCTTGAGAGAGGAAAAAGAAATGCATAAAACTTTCAACTTTTATCTTTACCATTGTGAGAATAAAATTCAGGAAAAGTAGCAGTGCAAGTAAAAATTTTCATTTTCCCCTTTTGTATCTCTCAAGTGGAGAAGTGATAACTAGACTGATTTGGCTCAGGTTTTGCAAGAAAAAGAAATAAGCATAGATGAATATTATATGTTTCAGCTTTGAGTAAGTCCTGTATGTAGATGCATAAGTAATTGAGGTGCTTAGAAAGGGAACACTTTGTTTCATTCTGTTCTTTGAGCGTAATACACAGGTAGTATAGATTTGTAGAACACTTATAGTCAATACCTGAATCCAAATATTTTTCTCTTTTTTTTTTTTTCCCTCCAAGATTCCTCTGCAGAACTAGTGGGCCAGAACATAGACTTTTACCTTTATAGGATCTATGTCGTTGTAAGAGACAGCCAAGGCCGGCGCTGTGCTAGACCACACATAATTCCTGTGCAAGCCTGCCAGTGTGATAGTCGGAATTACTGCACCAGTGGGGCCACAAGAATAATTATCATTGGTGGTGGTGGCAGTGCTGGTGGTGGCGGTGCTGGTGGTGGTGGTGGCGCTGGTGGTGGTGGCGCTGGTGGTGGCGGCGCTGGTGGTGGCGGTGGCGGTACTGGTGGAGGAGGCCGGGAAGACGGAGGACAACAAGGTGGTGGTGGTGGAGGTGTTGATTATGACCAGAATAGACCTTTTGAAGACCACACAGAATGGCAGGGTTATACTGACGGCTATGATGGAGGTGAGGAAGGATACACTGCCTCCACTGATGACGGTTATGCTGGAAATGAAAATTATGGCCGACAACTCGAATCCAATACCACACTTAGTGGGGCTGCCATCGGCCTGATGTTTCTCGGTGGATTAATATTTGTTTGTAAGTATAAAATTAAGAAAACAATTTTAGTATCTTTCTAAATAATGTAAAAAGTGCATTTTTAAATTTTTTAAAGTAAGGTTACTTTTTCAGTTGGTTGTTAATCCATTGGCTTCTATTGGCCATTTGACAGAGAAAAAAAATGTCTTTTGAACAAAAAGATTTTCCATAAATTTTATGTTATACATACACACATTTTTCATTCAAAATTAAGCATTTCCTTTCTATTGCTATCCAATTCTTAGATAGAGCTGTCCTGCCACTTACACTTTGTAATTTGTACTTCCATTACATTACTAGAAGAAATGGGCAAGTATCAGCTCCAACCAAGTTGGATATGAAAGGATCTAAAGAACAAGATTCTTTTGAACTCGAAGCTAGATTTCTGTAGGAGAACAATAAACCATAGATTTTGAAACTTTTGGCTACTCTTCCAAACATCACATCTAATGAAAAACAAGTAGCATTTATAATAACAGGATCAAAACAGGACATTAATTCATTTGTCCTGGCATTCATGAAGAATTATGAGCTTCATGGATTCAAGTTAGAATTTATATAAGCAATTATTTCTCAGACTACCACAATCATAAGCGACCAACCTTCTTTCATGGCCTGGGCATCCAGTAATCAACATCTAAAATTTCCCATTGCAGGAATACTGACTACAAAACCTGAGGAAATTGATTTTTTTCCCTTTGATTTTCTGAGTAGCGGAGTTTAGTTCAGGTTTTGATCTTTGTTTAGTAGGAATCAACAAACACAAAATTTTGAAGCTTCAAAAGGCTGTTCAATCAGTAGTCCCCAGATGGTTTATCTTACAGGACAGACTGTCCTTCTGCCTTTGGAAATCTCCCCTCATAGTCTGGAGTAAATATGTCCTTAGTCATGCTGTATGAGGCAGCACTTTGTACATTATATAGTCCTTTCCCCTTTCATTTCACTTTGATGCTCAAGTAATCAGAAGGCTGGAGCAACTCTCCTATGAAGACAGGCTGAGAGAGTTGGGTCTGTTCAACCTGGAGAAGACTCAAAGAAAAGCTCAGGGCAGCCTTCCAGTGCCTAAAGAGGGCCTGCGAAAGAGCTGGAGAGGGACTTTTTACAATGGCATGTAGTGACAGGACAAGGAGCAATGGATTTAAACTGAAAGAACATAGGTTTAGGTGAAGGTGATGAGACAGAGGCACAGGCTGCCCAGAGAAGTTGTGGATGCCCCATCCCTGGAAGTGTTCAAGGCTGGGCTGGATGGGTCTTTGATCAACCTAGTAAGTGGAAAGTGTGCTCTGCTCATGGCAGAGGGGTTGGAACTAAATAGCATTTAAGATCTCTTCCAACCCAAGCCATTCTATAATTCTATTAATTAATATTGCATCACCTTTCTAAAATAAGCAGTGTTTTTGATGCTGGCCATTACAAGCATTCTGCAATTTCCAGCACTGAATTCTTTAGACAACTAAGCATAATACAGCACTTTGGGAAACCTGACTCACTCTATGTAAACATTTGGCAAAGCTAGGGCTTGGGGTTTTTCCCTACTGCTTTTTCAAATCAAGCATTGTGCATATGTAATGTGAAAATTGCAACTGGAGCCTTAGCCAGAGATCACTGCAGTCAGGTGGATTCTCCACTGATTCTCATATGTCTATTATTACTAATGTGTATTTCTTTTCAATTACAATACTTGAAGAGAAATATGTATGCTTATATATCAGGAAAGAATAGCACTGAATGCTATACATAGCAACACTGGTTCTGTTTGTTTAATTTTCATATGTATGCAACTTATATTGGTTCAGCTGAGATAGATCAAAGTCTGTTCCCAGGTGTATAAGCATAAATTTAGAGTAACAGCCCCACCCCTGTGTTGCTATGCTATAACTAAAGGTACAAATTATTCTGAATTTCCAAATACAGGCATCTCCATAAGCAGCTAACGATTCTGAAAGCCAGACTTACAGGCTGCCTGGTTATAAACATTTTAAAGGCATATTTTCAAAAGCTCATGAGCACCTCTGGGGAGAGCAGGTATTCCTGTGAGGAAGAGATGTCCTAAATCCTTGTTTCCTGTTCCTTTCTTGATAAGTGATTCCAATTTTGATGTCAATGAGTGACTGTTGTGGCTGTGGACCTGGCGCTGCAGGAGGAGTTGGAACTGGATTTGAACCTGTACCTGAATGCACAGAAGGAGCAATTCATCCATGGGGAATAGAAGGTGCACAGCCTGAAGACAGGGTCAGTACACCCCATGTTTCTAAAACCAGAAGTAATTAATATTTCAAGTAAAGGCTGTATTTGACTATAGAAAGTGATAGTAACAAGGTGCCATCTCAAACCAGTCTGGCATTGACAACAATTGCCAGGCAGATATGAAAGTTGATTCTTAACTAACATTCACTGATGAGGTTTATGAGTTTTAAGCAGAGGCCAGTCAGTTTGGCACAACAGTTTGTTGCCACTGTTCCTTCAGATGAAGCATAATAACTAGCAAGCTCCTTCACTGCAAGTTTAGGAGAAAGGAACACAAATTATCTTCACTGATCATTGTTTGTGTTGACAAGGAAAAATACTTGTAGTTTCTTTTGCTTTGTTTTGTTTTGTTTGTTAATGGAAATGGTGATAATGACTAACTATTATTAACGGTTTGGACTGCTAATTCCTTAACATAATTCACAAAGTCTTGATGTTCATATGGGAATTTTAAGGTAACCATTCAAGGAGTCAAAATGTTGTTTTCCAGGATGTCTCGCACATTCTTGCCCCAACAACTGCTGCAGGAGGTGATTTTGGTGAACCTTCTGGTAAGCAGATCCTTAAATCTTCTATGTTATGCTGTCATAAAGCTGTCTTTCAGAACTTCATGCCTTCATATTCATGGAGTCCTTTGGTTTCCCAGCTATAACCCAACCCTTCCAATCTCACATCTGCAGATAGTCAAACTCATGCTGCTAGGACCTCTAGTAGGAATAAAAATTCTGGGGTTTGAATTTTTGAGCAGAATAATTTTTGCAAACTACACTTATTTTGAAATATCTGCCAAGGCTTTCAATTCCCAGGCAATTTTTCTTTATCGGCACAGCTACTGAATGGAGGGCCTTTACAAGACACTAGTTTAAGCAGAAATCAGTCTTTAGCCAGAATAAGGGTATTTGCCTTCATAACTTCAGTAAAATCTTCAGTTCTTCCCAGTTTCCTGCTTCCCACAAGGGAGCATGTCAAGTAGCTAGTTAATTACTGACAATTTGTGTGTTAACCTAGACAAGCTGATACATAACACAATAAATATATGCTTCTGAGATAAGGTTCCTCCAAGAATTCAGTGATCATAGAGAATAAGCCTAGCTGTGCAGTGCCACTTTCTTCTTCTCCCCTATTCCTTACCTCAGAAGAGGAAGAAAGGATACTGGCCTAGATCTATTTGCACTAGCTTCTGACAGGAAGAAATGTTACTCTGCAAAACAACTTCTCTGCTGACTATTTATTATAGAAGAATGTTCTCAGATTTCTCATTTCATAAAAACGAAAAAAATATATAATTTAACCTATGTTTCCCAGTGCAGCCATATTCAAGACTACTGTATGCAATTATTTTATTATATTCTAATCATTAAGAAAATTTTCCTTGTTATCATCTATTAAAAAATACAGAGAAGATAAAATTCTGTAAGTATTACTTTATAACTTATTTTAAAGACCATTTCCATTCTGGATTATAAACTGGTGGTTACTATGATCCAATGTTATTCCCCCCTAAAATATCTCACTACTAGAAAATGTGAAAGTAGTTACAAAACTCTTTATTTTCTAGGATTTACAAAAATCTTTATTTTCTAAGTGTGTAAGGAAAAACATTTTCACACCAATGTGATCATAAGTATGCATTTACATATTTGCATGGACAAATGTTACCTAATTTTTTAACTCCATGACAGCATATATATACAGCATACATATATATATATATATATATATATATATATATATATATATATATACATATATACATATATATGTGTGTGCGTGTGTATATATATATATACATACACTAGACAGAAAAATCTTTCTGGACAATAAGAGAATAAACCACTGATTTTCTAAAACACAGGTGCACATGCTGCCTAGCCTCAGGAATAAAATCAAGAGCTTAGGTGTCTGTTAATGTGTATTTAATTATTACTGCAGTTTCAATGTTTAGTACCTGTGACTGAAATTGGTCTAAAATACCTTTAGAAACCCAGTAGTGTCATTATAGCATTTGTAAAAACAACTGACAAATTGTGTGCAAAGTTTCACAGAACACAGGAAGGATAACTTCTTCTGTTTTCAGATATATATAATAACACATATGGAGGAGGAGGAGTAGTAGCTTCTGGTGTTGAAGAAACTACAGGTGTTGGCTATGGCACTGGTACTGGCTACGGAACAGCTGGAGGAATTTCTGGAACAGGGGAAGCAAAAGGGTCAATTGGAGGAACAATAAAAGAGTATCGAGAAGGAGGAGTGAACATGGCCTTCCTGGACAACTATTTCTCTGAGGTAATTAGTTGCTATTCTTTGAGTTACATCTGTGAGAATGCTCTCTGTTAGATTCTCCTTCCCAGGTTACATGGTGGAAATACAAGTTAATTCCATTTAAATTGAAACTTCCATGATACAAGACTGCTGTGAGAGCAAAGCTCACAACACTAGTAGGAAAAGTTACAACACTAGTAGTAGTACTGTCTTTGAGCTGCTGCCATAGTAGATGGATTGTTCAACAGCCTTTTTGTAAAATTGATGGACACTGTAGATAGGGGTAGGAAGCAATTAAATTATTTCAACTTCATAAGTACTCACTAAATTTATGTATTTTTTCACCTTTCTTGGTGTATAAATATATAATAACTTTTTGGAATTGTTCAGTCCTGCTTCCCATCCAACTTGTTTGATGAAGTAATTTTAATCCTTAAAGGACTTTAAATATCAATTTTTCTTATTTTTATTGCCATTTCTGCTCCCTAAAAGACTTGTGAACTACCAGTGACACCAATATGCAGTTTTTCAATTGGCAACACCTTAATTAGCCTTTACACGTGGGATTAAAAAATGGGATGGAATTTACATGATTAATGGTTTCATGGTCTATATTTTTACTCATATGCATGAACTGTGAGGCATAAATGTTATAATTGCATGTCATCAAAACACCAATTAAGCTATAAGGATTGCTATATTTCAAATCTAAACAAAGTTCAGTGGAGGAAAGAACAGAGCAGTCCTGACATCCCAAGCATGGATTTCTCCCAGACTGCAATCTTCCTGCCTTGGCCTGGAGCACCTATGTATTAACTGTCTGCCAGCCATAGGCCTCCACATAGTATTCCTGCTATCCTCCTGGACCAGTTCAATCCCCAAGCTCTCTGACTCGGCCTCTCAGGCCTCCTGTTCCATCCTTTTCTGCTTCCTCCAACCCCACTCTACACTCTCTTTAAATTCTCCTCATTCCTGCCTGATCTCTCTGCAATGCCAGGCCAGGATCCTCAACATCATCCCCAGTTGGCGATTTCCTTCTTGCTCAAAATGAATGCTCCCCTCTGGACTCACCAAGTTTCCCCCACTGTGGACAATCCTCCATCCCATCTCCTCTTTCCTGGTCTCTTCATTCTTCCCCTTGCAACCCTGCTTCACTCCTCTTCCTAACATTTTGTTCAGATACTGCTGCCCAAAGAAGCACCTGTTTGCCTGTCCCTTTTGCCACATAGACAGAGCCATTGATGACAGACCAAATTCAAGATGCTACCTGTTGGCAGAAACGAGAATAAAAGATAGTAATATTTAAATAAACTTATTTCAAGGTTAAAAAATGTTGATGGTATAGTCTGTCCTGTTGATGTCCTATTTTTCAAGTCAGCTGGGCCTTATTGTGGTTAGGGAAATTTTACTGTGGTTTGAGAATTCATGGTTAAAAATTCCCTCTGTTCTTCTGTTCTGTTCTGGTTTTTCTTCCATTTTTTTTGTTTTTGCAAACTACAGAAAGCATTTGTGTATGCAGACGAAGATGAAGGTCGGCCGGCAAATGACTGCCTATTAATTTATGATCATGAAGGAGTCGGTACTCCAGTTGGCTCTGTGGGTTGCTGCAGCTTTATTGGAGAAGATACAGATGAAACATATTTGGATACATTAGGACCAAAATTTAAGACCCTAGCAGAGATCTGTCTCGGCAAAGAGATTGAACCTTTCCCTGATGTCAACCCACCCTGGCCAGGCGTCGTCAACATTCCCTTCCCCAGCCCTGAAAGTGATCTAAACCTCCCTCCACCTGGCACCACCATCGTTGTCAATGGAAGCGCACCCATGCCTGCCCCAGTTGGCACTACAACAGTTGTCACTGAAAACACCTACACGTCTGGGACAACCATACAGCCCCCAAGGCCAATGCCAGATCCCTTGCTCCACGGCAACATGACGGTGACCGAGACCTACACCTCTGGCTCCCCCTCTCTTTGCGTTGACCCTCTGCGTGCATCCAACGTCGTGGTGACAGAGAGGGTTGTGGGGCCTGCGTCTGCCTCTGAATTGCGTGGCATGCTAGATATCCCCGACCTCACAGAGGGCTCCAACGTCATCGTCACGGAAAGAGTAATCGCGCCTAACTCCCGACTGCCGGCATCTCTGAGCATTCCTGATTTGGTAGATGGGTCCAATGTGGTAGTGACAGAAAGGGTGTTCAGGCCTGCCTCCGGCATGCCGGGCAGCCTAATAAATATCCCCTCAGAGTTATCCAACGCCCACAACGTGGTGGTCACAGAGAGAGTAGTGTCAGGGTCTGGGATGAGCAGCCTAGGAGGAACAAGTCTGGGAGGAGCAAATCTGGGGGGCATGAGCAGCACGGGTCAGATGCTCAGTGCCGACTGTCACCTTGGCCAGGGAATGGGCACGGCATCTCCAGGCACCTCCCGGAGACGAGTGACAAAGTACAGCACCGTGCAGTACTCCAGTCAGTAGGGCCTCTGCTGGCACCCCTTCCTGCTGAAATCGCCATTTGCACCAACACTCATTAGCTGCCACCCATCAAGAATATTGTTATTATTTATAACTAAGAAATAGCGCTAAAATTTCAGGGATTTCTGCTTGTGTGAGGATCTCTGACGGGTGCCCCATTTTGAGTTCAAATGCAGGACTTTGTCAGTGAAGGGAAAATAGAAGTTAGCTTTAAATTTCTTTCTCTCCACCTAGCACTGCAAGTGTATAAAGAGACTAGTATTTTTGGAGAGTTATCTGATGATCGAGGAGAGCAGTGAGAGAGGATCCTTGCGTGCACACAGTACCAGCATAAATTAATGTCATACAAAAGCACGTTAAAATACTGTGCAGCTGAGTGATCTCTCACAATAAGCAGATTTGGGTTAATAGGCCCTCACTGACAAGAGAGGAAAAGAATGTAGTTAATAATTAGTCAACTCAAGACTAAATAAGCACTTTTAAACGCATCATTTTACTTTGTATGTAATTCAAGAAGCGCTACAAAACGGCACTTTCAACCATTCCTCCCATCACCAACAATAGTTATAAATAATAATTATATAAACATAATACACTTCCATTGCTTTCTGAAGTTCTCAGTAAACAAACACCTTGACACAGCCTGCCATGCTGTTCCTATCATGGTGAGGAGCAATTTGTCGCAGCTGCTGCTGCTGCGTTGACACTGTCACCCAAGAAGATGTTGGCTTCATCCTTTCTCCATTGCCATTACAGCTTTGCTTAAATCCAAAAGGACTTCAGTGACAACCAGGAACTCTTAGTCAGATTTTTGTGCCAAACTATGACTACCATTTAAATCGCCAGTGTCAGGTTATATTAAGACGGCTATAATATACTGTGCCAATTCTCGTCTTAAATACTGATAAGAAAATCTTGGAAGCTTTGTGATGTGAGGAGGCAATAGCAAGTATTGTATTACTGACACTGGTAGCTGAAGCCTTTCTGAAAAGAAAAAAAACACTTGGAAGCAATATAGATTTGCTAATAAGCAATGTGGAGAATTTTTATTTCATATGTCAATGTATTTTGCATTGATATTTTGAAAGTTTATTTGAATGTATTAATTGAAAAAGTCTTTATGAGTCTATAAACGTAATTAAATCTGGCTTTTATTTTCCCACAAAAACAGCTCTACTGGACTCTGTTATTCTAATATACCTTGACATGTCTTGGAATATGATCTGAAGGAACAAAATGCTGAAATATATCTTCTATCTCATTTTACTTCTGTATCATATGTATAGTAACCACAGCGTACCCAACATTGCTTCAGTGTAAATAAAATAGTTATAGGGAGGGACTAGCTTTTTTTTGCTAGACCACCAAATTAGTAGTTTCCGTGCAAATTTTTCTTGTTTGGCTTTGACAGATAGGTTATTGAAAAGTTTAAGAGTTGTCTGTGAACCTCCCACTCTATAAAATGGAAAAGAAACTCAATTGCCTATCCAGACTAACTTACCTCAGAAGGAATGGATGACTGGTTTCTGAGTCTGATACCAAGAAAACGTTTTGAAAAAGATGTTTTTGGAAATGCACCTAGATCTGCTGTCAATAACAGCCTGCAGTACCCCCAGAGTCATTGCTACTGTCAACATCAGTAATCCCCAGGAGTCATGACCAAACCCAAGGCTACCTCCAAGTAAGGTCCCTTCCATAGCTTCAGGTTCTTTTCTACAGCAACTGTGCATGCTAGATGCTTTCCCCATAAAATCTGATGTATTGCTGGTCTTGCTTCCATCTGTAGCCTTGATTATCTTAAGTATCACTAAAATTGCATTGACTTTAATGGGATTAGTCTTTCCTATAAGTTATGTACCAACTGTAATTATGGTTCCTGGAACCATTCTTTAAAGAAAAACATAGGTACTAATATATAAAGCTACATCCTTTTACATCTGGAGAATTTGTGCACAAATTCACTAAAATGCTGACAAACTCCCTTTTATTTTGCTAACCACCTGTTTACATCAAAAACCAAATATTTAAAATATATATGACTATCTGGTATATAAAAAGCCTATGCAACACATCCAAATCCCACTAGAAAATATTTTAATGTATAAAAGAAAATTAAATCTAGTGTAAATATTTCCATAATCATCTTAAGTAAATCATAAACTTTTTTCTGAACTGTGTTCAAAGTGATGAAACTAGTCTTCAGGAGCACATGCAGAATTCCTTGAACAGGAATGCTGTGTGAAGCATGAGTGTCTGAACTATGGTCTCTTGCATGTCTAGAAATAGGGGAAGAATGAATAGAAAATATAGAGAAATAGAAAACTAATAGAAAAATAGAGAAAAGATGTCGTTTCAAAGGACAGATTTTAGTTATGTGGTGGTTGTCTACTTCTAGTACTATCTTTCACCAACTTTTCAATTATTAATTCTTATGTAACACAATTTCTTGAAATGTTTCTAGCATCTTTTAGTATTGGTTTATCACAACAAACAGCAATTGCATTATCCAGTGCACTTCTGAATTTTAACTCCTATTGTTGTGTAATTTTTTCAAACTTCCTAAAAATTGTTTTCTTAGTGAATTGAGGATTCTTTAGGTTACTACAAATTGTGGAAGAAAAAATGCATGTGAAGATGTGAACAAATACTTGGTTCATTTAAAATTCTGTTCAAATTCTTTTTCTAGCTTCATTGTTTAAAAAATAGCATATAGTTTCATTCTGGCCAGCAGATATTAGTTTTTTGTTCTTTTCTTCCAGCTGTAATTTAAAAGCCTGTTTGCTGTCTTACCTTTAATCATATTGTTTAATAATGAAGAAGGAATGGTTTTCAGGGAAGAAAGACAGTAGTGATATTAGTTCTGCTCTAAACCATTCAAGAAAAACAGTCTTATTAAGAGGCAGCAGCATGCAATACCAAATGTATGGCTTGCTTTTTTTTTTTTTTTTTAACTCGGGTTTATTTAGGAATAGGATCCTACAGTTTTAAGCAGGCTCTTTGAGATCTTAGCATGATGAGAAGTATACTTACATGGAAGAAAATAGAGCCACAGGCTGAGGGTCTCATTAGATTTCTATCTTAGGAACACTGTCTCAATTTGAAATGCAACTTTCAATACTTTTTACTCTGTCCTAATTCTGTGGTAATAAATAACACTTTTAAACTGTTGTGAGCAGCACTTACTATGAGCAATATGAAAAGGCCACACAATTTAAGCAACAATTTAAAAAAATTCTGCCATTTTGCTTGAATTAACATAACTGCATAATTCAAATGCTCCTCACTATTGAGTCACCAAATGCATCATTTTAATTTTATTTAAAATATAAGTACTATTATTGTGGGCTTGTGTTTTCATAAATAAAAATATTAGAGATTTGTTTGTAATAATTTCTGAATGGCACTGAAAAAAATACAATAAATGATCATTTGGAATATCATGTTTTACATAGACTGGCTCAGGATATTTTTTTTCCAATTTATCAGTGGGAAATACAGTTTCCTTAAAACTGATGGGGTTTTTCAGAAAAAAATCTCGTTCTTTTACAAAAAAAAAAAAAAAGAAGAAGGTGTTGATTTAGAAAGTCAGGTCATTCCAAAACAAGATTATTTCATGTGTCAAATTGACTACAATACTTTATTTCATGTTGTCAAGTAGAAATGTGTGTCAGGTCTCACAAGAGTGACAGTACCATTTCCTCAACCCATCATTCTCTGCACTGTTCTCTCTCTTTAGACAGCCTTTTCTGTGATACCCTTCTGTCCTGCAACTCTGAAACAATGCTTCAGAGGAGCTATAAATTAATGCTGGACTACAACCACAGAGAGAAGGAGAGCAGAAGTCTCTAGAAACAGTGCTTGGGCAGCACAGGCATCACAGGTACATTCACTGCATACTGGTCAAAATGCATAGAACCAAGGAAAAGCACTTTAGTCTAGATCAAATCTCTTTCTAATTTTCCAGACCGATATTCATGACAATAATTATTTTTTGTACAGAGATTTTTTCAAAAAGTTTTATCTGAACTCAGTAAATTGCTGCTTTTAAAAAAAGTATCATGTATGAAGCAAATGTCATCTAATCTATCATTTTATTTTGCCTTGATGTCTTTTTTCTTCAGTTTCATACAGAATTATTATTGGCACTCACACATATTTCTGATAATTATTTGTCTTTTCAGGAAGTTAAGTTAGAAAAAAAATTGTCCATCTTCAAATTTATAGCAACTTTGCTATCAGTCTGATGATGCTGCCAATTCCAGTGCAAAGACAATTTATCATTTATCTTTTGTGTATTTAGAACCTGTCTAAACAGAAATGAATCAAAACTATGTTGCACAACACCAGATTTTATGCTCAAGCAATTTTAGTTGCAACAAGTCAAAAATGGGTCAATAGACAACGTTATTTCCTATTCCAATTGCACTTCAATGTTATAAAAAGGAGAATAATGACAAAATTACAACCAGTGACAGTTTTGGATGCACATTTGTATAAGGATGAATCTGTCATGTTTTTTTATTGTGACCAGTTGTTAAACAGCATCTTGTAATTCAGGATACAGTGCAATAAGTTATGAAATAGAATAGTCACAAAATGACAACTTAGGAAACAAAAGCTGCTTAGTTGACATCCATCATGTACCTCATCTTCTGATGTTCATCATGTGCTGTTGGGCCTACCTGCAAATTTAGACAGCTACCTAATCAATCTTTTTATTTTTCCTACTCTTTGGGAAAGCTCTAAAAAACAAACAAAAAAAACCCCCATATATTATTACAAGCTTCCTTCCAGCTCCTTCATAGAAGATTTGTTTCAAGACCGTCAAAATCTAGGTAAATCAAATGGTAATTTTGTATCTGCAGGCTTTGATTTTACAGTGATCCAGTACCAAAGATCTAGGTAAGGGTCTGTTCCTCTGCCAGCCACTGAAGGCTCAGGTTTTCAGGAAGGTGAATTGTGACACCAGAACAAGACTCAAGAGACAAAGGCTCTCCGGGATTCCCTATAGGATCTTGGTAAGTTGTTTAATTTTTATGAATTTTCAATAAATTATCTTTGAAAAGGGGAATTGCAACTTAATCTCTTCCCCTTAGGAATATGATTACAAATTCATCAATGATTTCAAGATGCTCAGGTGTTAAGATGTTTTGGTAATCCCCATAAATACATTGTCAGCAATGTGCCTGAAGCACGTATGCAGAGGGACATCTCAAATCTTTGATGCTGAATGTCTATTATAATGAATGAATGCTATTTGACTATAAAATCCACTCTAGATCAAATGTTTGAATATAAATAGCAAAATAACAGCTATTGGACATGCAAAATTTATAAATACTAGTAGGAAAGTAATGCTTTTCTTGTGTTGTTTCTGGGTATGTGCATCTGACTTTTATCTTTGTGACCTTAGTAAATATATTAGTGAATAAAAGTGATCATGGTAAGCTGTAGGTGCACCAAGAGCCTTAGAAAGGGACTGGATAAATTCATGTGTAATAGGTAAACAAATACAAACTAAATAGCCCCATCTGGGTGAGTACTAGAGGATGGACTGCAAATAGTGTCCAGGCTTGTACACACTTCCAAAATAGCATCTTCCTTTGCCATTCTCAGAGACAGAATGAAAAGAAATACACCCATTTTTAATCTGAGTCTTATCAGTTCTGCTCCATTGTCGTGTGGGGGTTGCTTTAAATTTTATTATACCTGAGTTCAGAGTTTAAACTAAAAATTCAGCAGTATTGCCAGGGACTGCAAATAGCTTCCTTCATCACCTTTGAAAAGCTGTCTAGTCTCAGT